CTGCGGAAAGGGGGACACTCAGCTGGTCAGCTGCGGCCTTGCACGTGGGTCCCAGCCTTCTCCCCCTCCCCCTTGCATGCCTTTTGATCACGACAGCTTTCCTATTAGACAGTTTCCCTGCACTTGCCAGGGGGCTCGTCCTTCCCTCACATGCCTGTGTGTACTTTTCAAACCCCACAAACCCATAGCCTCTGCCTCCGTTCCCCCCTAAGAACTGATACCTTTTTTCCTCCTCAGCAGTGCATCCTAGCTTGGAAGCCCTCAGTCACAGATGGACAGACAGAGACCACTCCGACTCACGGCGACCTCGCGTCCGACAGAACAAAGCATTGCCCCGTCCTGTGCCGCCCTCGCCACCCCCAGCAGGTTCCAGTCCTCTCTGTGGCCGGGGTGCTGCCCTCCTCACCCCTGCCAGCCTCTCCTTCCCGCAGATGCTGTCCTTCTCCAGCCGCTGACCCTGTTGTGGGCTGCAGGGCTCAGTGGCCAGCTTTGGAAGCGGATCCCCAGGCCTTTCTTCCGAGCCCTCCTAGTCTGGAAGCTCCTCTGAAACCGGGCCCCCAGGGCTGCACCTGCTGCCACCTGAGATAAAGCGGCCTAGCTTCCGGCATGACGGAGACAAGCAAGCCACCACGGCACAACACGCTGACGGGTGGCAGGTGGGATTAGCGGATGACAGGGTGTGACTTGGGCGTTGGGGAATCCCATCCTCACTGAGCGATGTTGCTCACAGACACTAAGTGGTCTCTGCCGGCCCCTCACTCAGGGAGCAGCATGTGGAAGTGCTATCGTGGAGATGATGGGGGCGCATTCCTGCCCCCCAGGAAGGAACAGGACACAGGCCCAGCAGTCACCTACCAACCAGTGGGGTGAGGCATGTGCAATGACAGGGTGGGGGTGCAACACTCAGGATGGCAATAGGGTCGGGGCACCCCGAGACTCCCACGGTCATGTGGAAGCCAGGTCACAAGGCCAGTGCAGGAGTTGACCCGAGGGGCAAGCAGGGAGAAGCTTCCAGGCACACTGAGCTGCCTCAGCCACCAGAACCCAAGTTTGGGGGCTGCCTGGTGCCCTGGGAGTAAGGTGGCCAGGTGAGGCAGGGCCCAGATGTGGCCCCTGCTGGAGCTACGTAAGTTTAAACAAGGGCATGAACATCCCATGTGCATGCTCGAAGAATCACATCAACAGCGGTACCGAGGGTAGACTGGAGGCAGGGGGCAGTGAGGACAGTGGAATCATTCCAGCAAGAGACGATGACCAGGGCGGAGACCGTTGGCTGTGCCGTAAAGTCAGCGCCGACTCCTAGCGACCCCATGTTCGACAGAACGAAACCCTGCTGGCCCTGTCATCGTGGTCATGCTTGAGCCGTGGTGCAGCCACGTGTCAGCCAATCTCATTGAGGGTCTTGCCCTTTGTCACTGACCCTCTATTTTAGCAGCCATGATGTCCTTCTCCAGGGAATGGTCCCTCCTGCTAACGCGGCCAAAGTACATGCAACAGTCCTGCCATCCTAACATCTAAGGAGCATTGTGGCTGTCCTTCCTCCAAGGCAGATGTGTTCGATCTTCCAGCGGTCCATGGTGTGTTCACTATTCTTCACCGACACCGTAATTCAAAGGCATCAATTCTTCTGCAGTCTTCCTTAGTCACTGTCCAGCTTTCACACGCACATGAGGTGAAAACACTATGGTTTGGGTCAGATGCACCTTAGTCCTCAAAGTAATAGCTTTGCTTTTTCACACTTCAAAAGGATCTTTTGCAGCAGACTTGCCCAATGCAATACATTTGATTTCTTGACTGCTCCTTCCATGGGCATTGATTGTGAATCCAAGTAAAATTCAATCCTTGACAACTTGAGTCTTATCTCCATTCATCATGATGTTGCTTATTGGTCCGGTTGTGAGGATTTTTGTTTTCTTTAATTGAGGTGCGATCCATGCTGACAGCTGTAGTTTTTGATCTTCATCAGCAAGTGCTTCAAGTCTTCTTCACTTTTAGCAAGCAAGGTTGTGTCATCTGCATATCACAGGTTGTTAATGAATCTTCTTCCAATCCTGATGCTGTGTTGTGGTACAGTGAATTATTTAATAAACTCCTTCTGTTGTTGTTGTTATGTGCCGTCGAGTCAGCCCCGACTCATAGTGACCCCTCCTTGGGTTGCCGAGGCAGTATCACTACGGAAGTAGATTGCCCAACCTTCCTTCCGAGGAGTGGCTGGTGAATTTGAACTGCCAGCCTTCTGGTTAGCAGTCAAGTGCCTTAGGCACTATGCTACCAGAGCTCCTAAACCCCTTCTAGCCATAGTCTTATAATACTCCCACCAAAAGATTAGATGGAACTATGCATATCATCAATTGGTCATTTGCAAGTTCAAGCTGAAGCTGCAGAAAATTAAGACAAGTCCATGAGTGCCAGAACATGACCACTTGAGTTTAGAGGCCTCAGATCTGACCCCGGACACCAGTGACTAAAGACCAGACACGTTGTGGGATGACATCAAGAGCATCATACATGTAGAAAGCAAAAGGTCATTAAAAAAAAAAAAAAAAAAAAAAACAGGAAGGATGAAATGACCAAAATTGGTTTCAGAAGAGACTCCAACTTGCTCTGAAATGGAGAGTAGCTAAAGCAAATGGAAGAAACGACAAGATAAAAGAGCTGAACAGAAGATTTCAAAGAGCAGCTTGAGAAGACAAAGTCAATTATTACAATGAAATGTGCAAACACCTGGAGTTAGAAAACCAAAAGGGAAGAACACGCTCAGCATTTTTCAAGCTGAAAGAAATGAAGAAAAAATTCAAGCCTTGAGTTGCAATACTGAAGAATTCTATGGGCAAAATATTGAATGATGCAGGAAGCATCAAAAGAAGATGGAAGGAATACACAGAGTCACTGTCCCAAAAAGAATTGGTCGATGTTCAGTCATTTCACAAGGCAGCATATGATCAAGAACCAATGGTACTGAAGTAAGAAATCCAAGCTGCCCTGAAGGAATGGAAAAAAAAAACCCAAAAAAACCAGGGCTCCACAGATTGACGGAATACCCACTGAGATGTTTCAACAAACAGATGCGGTTCTGCAGGCACTTCCTCGTCTATGCCAGGAAATTTGGAAGACAGCTACTGGGCCAACCGACTAGAAGAAATCCATATTTGTGTCCATTCCAAAGAAAGGTTATCCAACAAAAAGTGAAAATTATTGAACAGTATTATTAATGTCACACTCAAGTAAAATCTTGCTGAGGATAATTCAAAAATGGCTGCAGCACTATATTGACAGAGAACTTCCAG